TTTGTATTAAAGTAAAAATGGATGATAAATACGCCTTTCGTATGGAATTAAAGCACTTTGAGTGTCTTGCTCATCATATTTATTTTTATATAATCATATTTATTTTTATATAAAGGCAACAGAACTGAAATCATATCATGTTAATCAGCAGCACAGCACTATGCGATATCTGCCTTTGATCTCGTAGGTATCTTTTTTTATTATTATTATTATTATTATGCCATACATCAGAACAATACAACGAGAAACATTCAAATGTAAAGGAAAAATAGAAAAAGATGAACAACATTAATGTAATGAAACAGTGCCAGAGGACAGTAACAAAATAAGTAATCTCGTAGGTATCTGTTCACTTCGAGAGGTCAGAACTGTCCGTCTTGCCTGCGCTTATTTCACTCCCCCCTCACTGCAGCCGCCTATTCTCGCCTTCATTTCAGGCGAGGCGAGGCGCATCTCAAACAAGCCTATTCTCTATAGGTGTGTTCGCTGCGCAGACCGATCGGTGTATGACATCAAAGAACCGCGAGAGCGATTTGGAGCGGCCTGCTTTGTAATCGCTCTCGCGGTACCTTGATGTCATACACCGATCGTCTGCGCAGAGAACACAACACACCTAATCAGTAATCAGTTTGGACGGTTTCAAGCAGGAGACAGCAGTTTCACTATATTTGCACCAATTTCTGGTAATTATTAACGCAAAACGTGCATTGATTCTAAAGCATTGACTATGCTTTAGAGTTACACTTTATTCTGGTTAATGATAAAGAGACAACATTGAGTAATTCTACCAAATCTTTTCCAAATATATTCACAGTAAGGACAGCATACTGTAAATAGGGATACAGCAGGCTTAAACTCACGAAAAACATATTATAATGTTGTTATTGGTGATTTAGTTGCATGGGTTCATTTAAAAAAGTTCACTGGGACACTCAGGTACAGATTTATGGATTTTATTTAGTTTCAGAAACTAACTGATCTTGAACGTGGTTACATAACTGAACAGAAGCATTTTAACTCGACTGTAAAAAAAAACGGACTGTGTAGGCTACTTAATGGCTCGATGGCAAGAACTACAATCCCATGGAGCATTGCGCAATTGAAATCGATTCGTTTGCCATTTCCTCAGTCTTCACTGTAACATGATCCTTCAGAAATAATAGTAATATGCTGATTTAATGTAATACTTCCCATTATTATCAATGTTGAAAACAGTTGTGCTGTGCTTGTTGAACAGAAGAATTATTTTAAAAATAAATAAATACAAAATCTTGCCAAACCCAAACATGGTTTAATAGGCTGGGTGATAGGCTACATCAAATATTAGTGATAACAATCTTTATCAATATTTTTGCTGATGTAAAGTTTGAGAATATTGTGTATATCGTGATACCGTTACAAGTTGAACTTATAATAAGCCAATTCCGCTCATGTTTCATGACAATAGAAGTCTTAATGGAAGGTAGCCAATTCTTAAATTGTGAATTTTGCCCAAACATGTGCCAAATATGTTCCAAAAAGGAAATTATTAACTCTGTGTTTGTTACAAAGTGCCCATATGATCCCAAGATGTCATTGTTGTGCAAGCGTTAAAGTTCACTTACAGTCAAGGCTCAGCGTTGGCCTGATATCACCGTGTCATTGACGAGCTCTACATACAATATGAATCAAGAATACCAGGGAGCCAACAACGGGAAAACAGGAAGTCCAGCATGGGCGTTCCAGCAGGATGAGGAAGAGGCCCTCAGGTGGAGGTGACTGTGCTGTGGATGAGTAAAACCATTTCCAGGAAAGCACAAGAAGAGGATGCAGCATACACTTCCACATTCTGCTGCTGATGAGTCAAAGCAGTTATTTTCCAACCTCTATTCATATGGGGGATCCATAACTAATAGCTGAAAATGACACCATATTAGATTAAAACATATTCAACAATTGCTCTAGAATGTAGGCCCTATATGCAACAACCTGGGAGTACAAATCACACTCATTTGAAAAGCAATGCAGATTTGCACATAGCTGAGGAAGAAAAAAATTATTTATTGGGTATGCAACTGAATAACTGAATTTGGGTCATGGATTTAGATCATATGCAAAAGCAAACCACCAGCTCCTGTTCAGATACTGTCAATGTAACTACAGCGCCAGATTTCCTGGCAGTGGTTCTGAGGTCACTTGTTCTCCATGACAGACAGCAAAGCGGTTTCTTCATTTCTCTCTATGGGACCGCAGAGGTTCATTCGAGGCATTTTCAAGATTTTCATCGTCTTTCAGACCATTCTTTTCCTGCTGTTAGATCAAACAACTGGACCTCAATGAGAATAACGATATACCTCTTGTGGGGATATGAGAATATATCATTAGCCACAAATAACATTCATAATGCATAACCCTTTAATTATAAATACATAAGAGGAATTAAAGATTCCATATATTGTCTGTAAGTATTAAAATATCTTTTGAGATAAAAGAATGATGAAATGTAAAACTTCATGCTGTCCTTTTCGACATGAAACAGCATGAACTTTATGATACAAGTTGAATATTAACATGTACTGTACTAGTACTTTCTAAATGTTATTCTCTAACTGGGGTTTCAGCTGTTAGATTTACGAGATCTTATGTTAACTAATAGCGCCCTCCTCTGGTTACAACTTCCAATGCAGTCTCAACAGCAAGAATTAGGCTAATAAAGTTGTTGTATAAACTTCCTATGGCATATAAACGCTTGGAGTCAGAAGGACTTTAATACTGTAAGTATTGCATTTAATACTGCAATAATGCATTAAATCGATCAAAAGTGAAATAAACAGAAATACATTTTTAAAGTATATTTAAAAAGAACATGAAAACGGTACAGTATTTACTGTATTTCTAATCAAATATAAATGCAGCCTTGGTGAACAGACTATTCACATAAAAAAAAGGCAGACCATTACAATGTACTATTTAATGAAAGGAAGATCATCTCTAGGAGAAAGAAATAAAGTTTGGTCTCTCGTGATGTTACATTGAGACTGAAACGATCAAAGATTAAAAGACACCCACTCAATGACAAATCACAATGGAAATCACACATACTGTGTCCATGTTTTCTTTTAATCCAACTTATAACTACTGCATCGACATGTCGCTGGAAAAACTTACTACATAAACATGGCTTCCCAGTTAAACAGATCATCTTAGAATGTAGAAAAAAAGCCCTTCATCTTCACTTTACCTCAGAAATACACAGTTATCCAAATATTGGTAAATTTCTGAAAAAAAAAGAAATGCTTTCAGTATCTAAACTAGAGTTCCAGGAGACAGCTTCTTGACAAAATACAAAAAAAGGCCTATCACATTACAATACAAATGGCAGTTTGTTTTAAAGGACAGAGCTAGAAAGATTTCTTGTCGAAAAGCAACAAAGTGTTTGGAAATGGCCTTACAGGCATCACTCTTGGTCATTCTTCCAAGAAGCTTCGACTGCTTCTTTTCTGAACTAACACTAACACGGCCCAGAGAACAACTACTGATATAAACAACACCAGGCTTACTAAACTCAAAAAGCTGACATTCTTTAGATCAGCTTCACTCGAAATAAAACCATAGACACAAAAATATTAAAAAGAAGAAACGCAAAGATTAAAAAGTCTCACACAACTTCACGCAGACCTGTTTTGGTTGAGCTGAAATGGGTCAGTAACAGGAAGACAGATGTTACGTCTGTGGATTTTGCTGTGGTGCTACAGGCTACAGCTGAAGCTAGTCAGCAGGATCTGTATCTAATGCCTGTTATAGACATACTTCAACAGCTGTTTTACAGCAAGGATCTGTGGGATACGTGCCCAACCTAAATCCACATACACACCCTGATCCACAGAGCGATGCAGGCCGACTCGCATGTAAACCACAAGAAACACTATAATACGCAATTCTAGACTTCAGACTTATTATTTGCCCCAGCATTCCTCAACCGCAGCCATCTTTCCCCACACCGCATCTGCCTCCGCCCTGAGTGACCCAGCCCCGGCTAATAACACTTCGCTTGCATGCAGAAAAGCCATCATTAAGTGCTGCCATAACTAGGATGTAGTTACTCAGTAAGAATAAACCTAATTGAAGTGTCAATCCTATTTATATACACATAACTGAATAGAAAGTACACAATTCTCATACAAATAAAAAATTATAATAGGTAAAAAAAAAGAAAAAAAAAAAAGTTTATTTTCCCCTCTAGATTATAAAAAATATTTTAAAAGTAGCTAATAGCTCTTTGCCATTTCGAACTCTCTATTCACTAAAGTGCTCTCAGATTCGACTAACAATGAAAACCATAAATGCAACAGTCAGCGTACAGTATATGTATGTGAGAAACCAAACATAAAGCTATTCAGACCCTGCAGAGCACTAACAAGAAAAAGATCACTAGTTTCTTAAAAAGAAAAAGAAATTCTCAACTGAAAACATTGATCTTAAACAAGGGGATAATAAAGTGAAGAACGTTGTGTGTGTGTGTGTGCGTGATCGGATGTCGTCTGGTCTGCTTTGTTCCAGTTGTTGTAACACTGGTGTTTTCTGATGTGTGACTGAGTCACTGAGGGGGGGGTTTGCTCTCAGTATTTGGGTACTTTGGTGTAATCCTCCTGTTGGACACTTTTGCAGAGGCACATGGACAGGATCATCCCTAAAAGCTGAAGTAAGCAGAGAAGACCGTGATCATAATCTGGTTCCCCACTTCTCTCTCATGCACACAAAACACACACAGAGAAATGCACGTTTACCAGCTACCAAGCTAAATCAGGGCAGACTCAGTATAGTCTTTAATTGTTTCATATAAAGCTGGTAACACTTACTACAAACAAACCTGTATTTTTTGTCAAATGTTGGTTATTGATAAAGCTACATTTCCAGTAAATTTAATACAAATATTTGTTTGATCATTTAAATTAGTTAATTAATTAAATAACTTTTTTCCCTTTTAATTGAATATAAATACAAAATATTATACCACAATATTCGGTTTAGAATTTTCACTAATGCAAAAGCCATAGCGCATGCATCTAGAAACACACAAGTATACTAATTTGGGGTCAGTTACGATGTTTTTTTCAAATTATATTTTTTTCAGTAAGGACTGAATCAAAAGTGACTGAAGAAATGTATAATGTTACACAAGATTTATATTTCAAATAAATGCTGCTCGTTTGAACTTTCTATCCATCAAAGAATCCTGAAAAATATTAAGCAGTGCAACGGTTTTCAATATTGAGAATAAGAAGAAATGTTTCTTGAACACTGAATCATCATATTAAAATGCTTTCTGAAGGATCATGTGACACTGAAGACTGGAGTAAAACTCAGCTTTGCCGTCACAGGAATAAAAAAACATGTTAAAATATATTCAAATAGAAAACAGTTATTCCAAATTGTAACAATATTTCACAATATTACTGTTTATTGTAATTATGATCATATAAAAGGCTTTGGTGAGCATAAGAGACTTATTTCCAAGACATAAATCAAGCCCAAATTTTTAAATGGTAGTGTATATTTCCAATACAAATGTGGATTAAAAAAAATTTTTTTTTTATTATTAAATTAAATTTTACTCAAAATTAATATAGCTGAATATAAGTAAAACAGATTGGTAATCCCCCCCCCCCTTATAACGTAAAAGTTTAAGGCGACCAGCTTTAGCAGATTTTTTAGTTTTCTCAACTCGTTTTTGTAGGAGATTTTTGAGTTCTCAACTTTTTGTTGTATAAACCGAAAACAACATGTTGAGAAAACTCACAAATTTAAGGCAACCAGCTTCAGCAGATTTGTAAGTTTTCTCAACTTAAATGCATTTTACATGGCACGCTTTTAGATTTACCTCGATCACTGCTATTCCAACACAGACTCCCAGAATAACTCCACTGTTCCTTAGGACCCAGTCCTCAACACTAGATATACAACCCTGGACACAGAGAACGGAGAGAAAAAAAAAAGATATGCAGAGATTGGAAATGATCCTGAACAGACAGAGCTGTCCAAAGATAACATCAGAAGAGACAAACAGAACAAGCCAAACTCTAACTAGGGGAAAGAAAGTGAAAGTCTAGAACAGTCAGTGATCCAGTTTACAGGAAACATTTTGATTTACAGTAAATTCTTTGTTCGCTTATTCAAACAATGGGACTGGGTATATCCTACAGATATGATACAGTTTTCAAATGAATTAAAGTGATTGCATTACGGGAAAGTATTCAGCATCGCCCTTTAAATGTAAGTGGCCTGGTCTATGGTCCAGTTTATAGGCAAATATAAAGGTATGAAAAATGGCATGTTTAGAGTTTTGCCTGGAATTTGAGACCTAATGAGCAGAATCAATTCATTATTAATGAAAGTGCCAAATGCTTGAATGAAATATTGGCATGGAGTGAATGGTTAGCAGGCTGTGAAAAGCTGATATCCAGTCCAAAAAGGAAATCCATATGTTGCACTAAAAGCAAATGGAAGGAGAGAGATAGAATCTGGAGAGATGTAACACAAACGCCAGGTTAGAGACAGAATTAGCAATGAGAAGCATTAGTGTGAATGGTGAACGCTACTAGGAATTAGGAAAGGGTTTGTTCGCCAAATTTTTTTTTCTATGGAACATAAAATATAATTTGAGAAATTCAAATTATTAAATTATTTGAGAACATTTTTTTTTGTTGGTCACCACAATTCTTTGGATAGCAACAGCCATACAGGTTCTGAATGACATGAGGGTGAGTAAATTATGACAGAATTTTCTTATTTGGGTGAACTGTCTCTATTCAAATCCTGCCAGTAAGTATGAATGATATTACAGTCCCAGAAAATGTGAAAATGGTCAGCCGATACATTTCCGCATTTTCTCCAGCATTCACCAGCTTTTGGATTCCCAGATTGCAAATATTTTATTTTAGGGGTTATGAAAAACCTTATTATATTTTTCCAAGTGAACTCCCTCCATGAATCTGAATTAGTTGTGGTCATCTGGGTTCTCAACATAGATAACCATTCTTCCTCTGTTATACTTATATTAGCTTCCTTTTCCCATTTTTGTTTCACATACATTGTTGAGTGTTTTTTTGTTGACATTAAACAGGAATAAATTCTTGATACAAGTTTATTATTCATCTTTTTTTTTTTATAAGTATCTTCAAATATCTGAACTATCGTTGATCCTATATCTTCTGAATCTCTTATATTCTTATTAAAATAATGTCTAACTTGAAGATAACGGAAAAAGTCTTGATTATCTAAGTTGTATTTATGAGAAAGTTGTTGGAAACTCTCTAGCCCACTCTCGGTAGAAATAAGGCAGAAGGATGTTATACCTTGTAAACGCCATTGCTTAAACCTTAGATCCAGTCTTGCTGGTTTAAACTAAGTCATGTTCCACCCATCTTAGTATCCTTCCTTGTCTTTCAATTTTAGGATTCCTTAATTCTATATCTAAATGTTTTTAATATTTAAATAAATATTTATTTTAATATGTAATTTATCACTGTGATGCCAAAGTTGAATATTCAGCAGCCATTACTCCAGTCTTCAGTGTCACATGATCTTAAAAAAATAATTCTAATATGCTGATTTGCTGCTCAAGAAACATGGCCTATTATTATCAATGTTGAAAACAATTTTGCTTCTTAATAATAAACCAGGATAATTTTTCAAGATGTTTTGATAAATAGAAAGTTGAGATGGAAAGCATTTATTATACATTTTTTAATAAATGTTTTTACTGTCACTTTTGATCATTTTAATGTATCCATACATAAAAGCATTTAAACTCCTTCTAATTGTCATTTAACTGACAAAACCAGCACAAACTATTTAAAAGCCATTCTTTACATTTCAAAAACCTTGTAACAGAAAATCATTGTTCAAGTGAACATTATCTTGAGAACATCTTGTTTGAACTTCATGCATGTGTAGGAGGGCTGGTGAAGTAAACTGCACTGAGGGGGCTCCGGCAAAGATAAACTAAATC